AAAAGGACCTCGATCAAAAACTTAGCCCTCCAGATTGGGTGTTCAATGGTAGGCTAACTCCCTGACATGTGCGAACCTTAAACCTTGTAAAAAGCCTTGGGCTTTACAGGGACGAAAAACAACCAACACAAATAAGCATTATATTTTGAAATTTAGAACATCATTTAAAGAGGAGTAAGAGAAGAAAATGGGGGTTAGCTATACTTTTTTGTCTAAGAGTACATCTTTTTATTTGCAAATATTTCTACATCTTCTATTCTCTAATATTAAACAAATAAATTCAATAAAACAAGATCAATACAACAACAGCGATTGCTCTATCGATGTTTATAACAGTCGTAGTCAACGTACTGGCCCTATAGCTATAATAATTCTGAAGACATACTGCAGCTGCTATGGTATTGCTTTGGTTTCAGTCAGTATTGCTTTGGTTTCAGTCAGATGGGATTGTTGCCATGCAGTTCAAAACACTGACGATTTTATTGCTTGAAAAGTGCAATGCTAGCTTCAAACTCAATTACTGTGGGGACCAGTAGCGTCACTTGGCTACACCATTAAACCTTGACTTTAAAGTTCTACTTTAAAATTCAACTTTAAAGTTCGTCTCGTCATTGTTGGTATACGTACAGCATGATTTCAGGATAAATGGTAGTAATCCGTGCTAACCAGGGCACGAACGTTCATAAAATAATTATTCTTAAATACAAAAGAAAATATATATTTATAAATATGTTTATAAGTCCAATACCATACTTCTTGACGTACTTTATTGGTTATCTTTAAAAGCAAGCATGCACAACTAGGTAGGCGTAATATGCTCCAAATGTATACTATGAAATAAGAGTCAGCATTAATGTTGGTTACTCCGTCATAATTTTTGCAGTTAATATTTTCGTTTAGCAAATCAAGACGTCACATAGGTTTGTTTGTTTACAATAGATAAGTTGGGTGAAAAGTTAATTTGTTTGTCTGGAACATTCAATTATAAAGTGAACGTTAAAATCCACCACTGAGGTGAGTAACACTGCACTTAACCTCCTCTCCCAACAATGAACGTCACATTCTATTTGCAATGCATATGTGACGGGCCATTAACTGCTCTAGTGATAATCACATTTTCTCCATCAGGGACGATAAAACACGATGCGCTCATCTTCCCTGGCGAATACAGTTCAATCAGCGGCAAAGTTGACTTTTATCTATTGGATGAGTCGAACTCGTATGGTTAACTTTATAATTACAGAATATCTTTGGGGTCTATCAAAGCCAAAAATGTTACAGCTCATGCATTAGGTCCGATGAAACTGAACTTATGGTATAATTGTAAGTGTGTTTTTTTTTAGTTAAGCATTATTGTCCATAGAATCTATACTATGGTATAGTCGTCTGTTAACATTTCATCTATCAGGTATGTCAAAGTTGAGCATGGAACAGTTGTATGTTTAGTTACAGTTTATCTCTATAATATTAGGTTTAAAGAGTACCTAGGTTAGCTGCTACAGGGAAAAAACTATTACGGAGGGGGGGGATAAGGCGAGTTTTTTTTTGGTTTTTTTTTTATACTAATAGCTTAGTATAATAACAAAATAAATTACAAAGCTTCATCAAAATATATCCATAAATAAGTAAATAATAAGAATTTACTTCTTCTCCATAGAAACAATTAACAATAAAATTTTTTTTTATTTTATATGTGACCAAAAACTGTGAAAAAACACTTCAATATACTAAATTATTTTTAAGCTCTACAAAATGGCTGAGAAAGAATTTAAAATGGAACATTTAATGTTTACCATATAAGCCTCTGTTTAGTCAGTGTATTGGTTCGCCGTACCAAATTCAATCAAAATTGGATGAGTTTTCCTTTGACTTTTCGTACTAACCCTTACAGTTTATTATATATGAGGTCTAGTATGGTCCTGAGTCCAGGTCTTACTATGACACCCACGGTATAGCTTATTCCCTACCTATATGGGAAATTTGTTAAAACCTAGAGGATAGTTAAATTAATAGTTATTTGTGCAACTAGTGAGAAAAGTGAGCAATTGACTCACTCGAGAGAAATCCTTACTCACGAGCCGTAGGCGAGTGAGGAATGGTTTCTCGAGTGAGGCAATTGTACTTTGAACTCGAGTTGCACATTATACTTTTCCTACAGTTACTATAAAACAAATACATTTGTGAAGAAACATAACCTATTTTTACACAGAAGTGAACTTTTAATATAACATTTAATGTGAAGTGACAAATACAACAGTACAACAGCTGACCAGCTGATTTACAGCCAGTGCTGCCAACGTATTTCGCGCGCATACGACGTTGCCTGCATGTTACGCGCGCACTATTTCGTGCCTTCACGTTGCAAATCTGGAGTGAGACAAAGTAATTAGAGTGAGACAATGTTAACATTGTCTCACTGATGAGCGAATTGGCCACTTTGCTTTCTCAAATCAGTGAGAGAACATGTACATTGTTAGGTAACTGTAGGAAAAAGTCTTATTAACCAAAGCTATATATGTAACAAAATATTTTGACCAAATTTAGGGACATATTTTTTCTGAAAACATTTAACTCTCCTTGTCTTCAATGTACATAGGACCTGAACATGAAGGATAGTGTTATCTCCAATGAATGCTGTTTGTTACCCATTTATAACAATGGTAGCTCAGTATAGAAAGTGAATTATGCTTACATTTTATCTAGGATACCTCACTTAGCCAACACTGGGTAACAAAGCATTCAAATTTGTTTTTTTCGAATAATCGAATATGTGTTTACTTCGCATATAAATATATAATTTGATTTCTGGTCAAAAAAGTAAACCTGAAAGTTACAAACAATGTTACCTTGATGTATTTTTTTTTACTTGAATTTGTAATTAATTATACAACGATATTGTTTTATTTGATAGTTGAAAATAATTATTGAGTCGTTTGCTTTACGTTGTGAATTTACATGTTTAAACCAAAGCAAACCGTCAGTTGCGGTGCTAAATAATAGTTATTCCAGCATAAAGGATTTATTCATACGGTTGATTCCAATAACTTTGCTCACTCGCCTGAATACAATTATCAAATCGAGCTGTGGTAAGTTGAAATGTTTTAATTTACCCGTATTTTCACCATTTCATTAAATATGGGCTTTCATCAATGTTTATTCGAATACAAAATATTTCCCATATATTTGTTTGCATCTCAATTTCATCTAGTATGTTGCGAAATGCGAGTTGTTATGAATTGACAATCTGAGAGTGTTATGGTGTCACGAGTTTATTTGTTACAATAACTGACTAAAAATATTTTGATTTTAAAAGAGTTACAAGAGTTACTGTCGCATTACATCTTAAAGTAGTTGATAAATAACCATCTTACGCCTTTTCGAAAACATACAACTTGATGCATAAATACATAAAAACAATGTCGTATTTGGTTAGGAATTTAGTTTAAAGCTAAGAAATTTTAGTAATTTAAGCTTCGTTGAGATATACTTTTATTTCATATCTCTAATAAAAAAAAAAACTAAATTCAATCAATATTATATAAGGTTTTTTTTTAAATGCCTCATTATTTTATCATTGGCCACGATTAAACTTGGATAGTAAATATTTCATTAATAAACTACTTTAAGCCCCAAAACCTCTACAAACAAAAAATCTATACCAATTACTAAACTCATTAGTTTATGTGAAACGTACTTAGTTTTGCATTTTCAGCTTTATAAGAATATAAACCATCTAAACTTAAAATATAAAGATCAAAGTCGATTAAAAACCAAACCTAAAATGTATTATTTCCTGAAAAAACTAGTATTTGAAATATAAATACAATTTGGCGGTGTTGCATATTCAATAATTTGGAGTAATTAAACCAGCACAATCTCTTGTAAATGAGGTAAGTGTAGAAGGCACGTGCGGTGGAATCATATTTTGTTAACGAATTCGCTTTGTTGAAATTAACATGGATCAATAAATATTTAACGGTGACAGGAATTTAATAGCAAGGAGTGTTATATGTTTTTTCATTGACAACTAGATTCTAAATCAAAAAGAACATCGAAACCTTTAAAAAACATAACATTATGTTACATTACAGAATTTGGATAAGATAGTGATGGATAAACAACGGGATTACTTGTGGAAACTAAGTAATTTGTTAAGAGGCGACCCATGTGCAAATAGCGCAACATAGGCTATTAGATTCATTGTTACTTTACCTAACAAGGTAAATAAATGTAATATAACCCCTGTTTTTCATACCACGTTCAGCTGTAATCAGTCAACTTTAATATCATCTGGTTTTATGGATTTACTGGTAATCTCACCATAGAGTCACATTATACATAAACATTATATTTTGTAGTTTTCAGAATATTCACACTAATTTTACGTATGCATTTTGTCATAGTACTAAATTGTACTTGTCTTAGTACAAACCGAATTAGATAATTAAATTTGTTATGTGTTACAGCACGGATATAATCTTATAAAACAAAAATAAAATATCTAAGTAAACATTCAGTTGTTATTGGGCATTAAATGCACAAGTATACTGTATTAACTGTACATATTGTATGGTGTAATATATCATAATTACACGTGCAGCAAACATTGCCATGCTGTTACTACACATATATCTACTATGTAGTCCCCAAAGCATTATCATCCATTTTAGCGTTGTATCAACATTACATACCCATTTTACGGTTAAGTTAATACTTTGTTTGTTGGCTTAAGAAAAGGAATTTACCTACTAATGCAAAAATAACATATAACATGTAAACATATATTACCCGATTATACATAAAAGTTAACAAAGCAACTACAGTATACTGTTTTGACAGATCGCCGGTAAATATATTAAAACATTTTTTTTTATCAATCGAATTAGGCAAGGATTTCGTTATAAGAGTACTTTTAATTGTTCCCCGAGCAAAGCTCGCCTTCCAGATACTTAACATAATCCGAACAAACTGTATAACCCTGCATAAAAGAATGTACGTACCTGAAGAGTGTGGTAGCCCAGTAGGCCGAACACTGCTGAGTAGCGGTGAACTGTTGAGGAACTCGGTGGCGACTCAGCACCTAGCAGGCACAGCTGCATCAGCAAGTGACAGCTGCTTTGAACACTGTACATTGTACAACAAGTAGCAGTAATCAACATGGGTGAGTTGGGGATCACTACCATTGTGTCTGAGGTAAGCGTATTGATGAACATAATCAATGGAAACCCAAAACCTACAATAGACATGTAACAAATGTCGTTTGAAAGCTATTACCCTACTAATGTAGCAGAATCATATCTTTGTTAATGTATAATATATTAACTAGGACTAAATATACCGATTAATTTAGATAAAAACGTGATAGAGGCATTTAAAAGTTGTAAAAAACTCTTTTAAAGAATGCCTTTGGAAACTTTATATTCCACTGTTTTTGGTGTTCTTTTTTACATATAGATTATTTTGACTTATATCATGGTGTCCTCAAGAGATTACTTTGTATTCTTAATAGTGACACATTGCTTGGACATAGCATCTACTCGTATTTTAGATAGCATTTTAGTTTTGATTTACCTTTTTTATAGTCATCTTTGTCCATTCAGCTGGTTTTTAAATTGTTCTATCAGGGATTGGCGAATCAACATTTATTGTCAAAATAATTCATTTTTGAGCAAACAAAAGCATTATTATTATACTATAACATCATTTATATGGTTCATCACAAAATTAATATTACAGCTGTTTACGCCTATTATGTTTAGGAAAACGATTAAAATGCTTCATTTATATTACTGTGGAATTTGATGGGATATTACAATCACTAACAATAAACTATATTCTAGTAAACATATTGTTAGCATAAAGAGAACTTGTTGTTAATAGGCTATTTTCTCATGCTTAAATTTATGGCTCGTTCTAGCTACCTGTGTGTATGGTTTAATCTAATCTTCTTTTGCTGAAAACCTTCTGGAAGTGATTTTTTTGTGTTCACTAAAACATGCAAATGCTCTACTAGTAGTAGGCTCTTGTAGACAATTAAAAGCTTACACATGTTACCTTACAAGTTAGTTTTCATAACTTTGTACATTGATTAACATTCAGCATATGAAGTCTTAAGGTCCAAACCAACAAAGTAATTTATTAACTTCATTGTTGGGGTTTAGACTATATAGCGCTTACTCCCATGGACTATTTTGGATATATTATTTGAGATAGTAGCCTGGTCAATAAACAGATTTGTGCACTAAAGTCAAGAGTGGATGAGAAATATTTCAATATATAGTTTCTTAGGAGTTCCAAAATGTGACTTAAATAGTATGAATTTTCATTGTTAGTTTTCAGCATTTGGGTTTTGAAATCACGTCCACATTTTTTCTGTGGTTTATCTTAAATGTTTCCTCACATAAGACATAAAATTTTAAAACCTCTCAACTCAGAAAAGTAGGATTTTTTTAATATTACATAAAAAAAAATATTACATATAAATTTAATTACTTAAAATGAATTTCTCACTGAAGAAGACACTTGACAACCAAAAAGTGTTCTTGTATGTACATTAAATCTAAGGTATACCCAACTGATGGTAATATTAGAATTCAACAATGTTAATTCAACAAAACATTAATTTCAAAGTGATAATAGTCTTTTTACATTTCAACTTTTGCAAAAGTAATAGCTGTCCGTTCGTTATTAAAACATAAATCAACAAGCAAATCCAATATCCAGAAACATTGGAAAAATTCAATTAAAACTGGCGTTACTTTATAGTTCACACATAACACTTATTAATTAAAGGAGTATTTTCAAACACACATGGACCCGCTTTAAATCTCCCGGTAATCAAGTCGCATGTTAATATTTAACTGCCTATAACCGGATTATTGATGTAATATCAGTTTTCTTCAACCCATTTTTATTTAACATTACATACAACTTTGGAATTTTAACAGGTAATTGCAGACAATAAAACTTTTTTACATAATTTATACACCATTGGAAAATACTGTTTGTAATATGCCAATGATTATAAATAGAGAAAGTTATAGTAAAGAGTGAGCTGGCCGAGAACCGAGGCTGCGTTACTGATTCCCTCCCACCCTACGTCAGTTGCGGTATAGAATATTATACCATAGTTAAAATGAGTAAGCTTTTAATCCATGGTTATGCCGATAGTCGATAAGAGTCACCACGCCACTTACAATAGCTTGAGTCATACAATTTTTTAATAGTAAAATATTTAAATATATTATGTCATTTCTTTTAATCACCATTGGTAAAAAATAAAGAGACAACATTTTGAGATTTGAAAAGAACAACATACAATTTCTCACGAAAAAATTGCCAAAAAATACTGTAAGGATGATTTATTATCGAATTATTTTGTTTATTCAAATTATAAGTAAATTAATTTATTCGAATTATTTTATTAAGTTATTTCATGATTGAAATAACTTAATATTTCATATTCACAACATATTTATTAACTGAAAAACAGTTCCCACCCATATCTGCAATTGTTTTTTTTTAATATAAAGAAATTATTAGAAGAAGTCGAGATAAACATCAGGTGTTTATAGCTACTGATATTTAGCAATATATGGCTGTACGTTATATACAGCTCAAAATATTTAAGGTTTAGTCACTACAATTATAACTTTTGCGCTGTATTGACGAAGTTATAAAATATTGTTTGGTTATATTACAGCTCAGGCGCTAAAACAAAGATTTTAAACACACCTGACTAACACTCCAATGTTTTTATGCGACATAAAAATATTATTCAGTTTATCAAATGTTTGCAATAATCTGAATGGGTATGACTAACATGAACTATAATAATTGTATTTAGCCTACACAGTAAAAACTAGAAGTGTCTTACGTTTTGCTGAACTTTATATAAAGCGGAATGCGCACTAATCCTTAATAGTGTCTTAAAGAGCTGAACTACCCATCATCATCTTAATACAACGAGGAAATCCCATCGTCTTATTCACAACCGGAAGTATGGTTGAGATATAGGTTTCTAAATAGAAATAAACATTTCTATATTTTGAATTTTTTTAATACATTCTCTCTGCAGCATGATGTGGGCGAAAACAATAAAGGTAGAAAAGGTTATTTCCAAATAGAAATGAACTATAGAGCTCTTAATAATAAAACAATTGGATGAAATCTGGGTTCAGATAAAAATGTAATTTACACAAAGAACGGAATAAAATGAAGAACCAACCGATTTGTTGGACAGCTCTCTCAACATGGAGCAGCTCCCGCTCTCTTAATTTATTTAAACCCAATTTATTAAACAAATGTTTGAGTTCTTTAATTTGAAGTACAGAATTTATCGTCCTATCAAATAACAAGTAGATATACCTTTCGTGTGGTATTATTATATGAAGACTGCTTAGTAACAATTATCAAGTTGTTAATTGTTATAGTGTTATGGAGACTATTAGTACGAATTGAATACAGGAATTTATCTACCAAAGGTCTATGGATTGCATTGATATATTGTTAGTTGTTGGTTTTTAAGGTGCATATTCTTAATATTTTATTTATAATCACCGATACGAATTAAGATAAATCTGTCAATTTACTAACAAAAGGTAAAATTTACATAGTGACAATACCAGGGTGGTTTTGAGCGTTACCTTACAAAACCATTTAACAATGAAGCTGGAGTATATAAACAATGGTTCACATTTTAGTAATTTTACGCGGTTTGAAAAGGGGGTTTTATAGTTTTTTATTTGTAAATTCAGCAATGTTTAAAAAAAAATGTTTGTCTGTTGTTTCAACGACAAGGATATATTTATGTATATTTGAGTTTACTTGACCCTTAATTTTATATTCATTACCATATCAATTCGAAACCATAATAGTATATTTCGTAGTCGAGAGGAGAGCTGCAAAACCATTTCGGTCCGTGGTACGAACGATATTTTTCACCACACTTTACCCTATTACCAAATGCACACTGAGAGTCAACACAACTACAACTTTAGGGTTATGTGAAGAAATAATTTGAGGAATCAACAAAAATAAAAATAAATAGTAGCTAGGCAACGGTGACAATAAAACAATTCTATTGCAATGCTATGGATTTTGATTGTGTATTTAATATGCATTCATGTTTTAAGTAAGTAAGCGGGCAGCTGATTTTGCGGCCCTAGGGATAAAAAAACCTGCTCGGTCCCCAAATAACGATGACAGCTGGCATGGCCAGCTAAACGTAACTTTCAGCCACCAATTAACGTATGTAAAACAGCTAAAAACATCATATTGTGGTGAAAAAATGTTATATCCAAGGGGATACACCTCCTCCAATGGTCAGTTTTGAATAGTAATTTTTTTTTCAAACCATTTTGAAAATTATTTATAATTTTTTTGGTTGTTTTATTATGCTGGTGCAAATCGCGATATTTTCATTTTTCACATCTCTTTTTTAATAGACGTTACTTTCATCACATTTATTGGTTTATTATTAAGCTACACTAACTAGCACTACGCCTTCTAAGCTTTATAATTTATATATTTTTGAAAATAGACATTTATATAGTGTAACTTGGTTTTGTTATAGTACCTCAGTACATTACATGTGATATTCATATGATCTAGCACTGTACCAGCTGTTTGCTGTAAACGATATTTGCCACTTATAATGTTTTCCAGTTTTCGAACACAAGATTTTAAATAACTTTTAACCCAAATAAGATAGAGTAGAAATGTTTACCACCTTATAAGATTTAGCAGCTTTTTAACCATTTGAATCATTTTGCATGCTATATTACTCATTTTTTGAAAGTTTTTAAATGAAAATGTTAAAATTTTAACTTTTAGCGAATTTCCCTATAGGGAAGTAGCTATTACCGTAGGTGGCACGGTAACACCTAGGCCCGGGACTGATTTACTTTTTCATTTTGATGTCCCAACAGGCCAAAAACACCATACGTCCGTGAACGCGATAATTTGAGTAATTTTTGTCCAGTTTTGATGAAATTTGGTTTAAAGGTGTAAGGCGGGTTAATCTTGAATGAGTTCGCGAACCAGCATGATCGGACCATGGGAATGGGGTTTTAGGGGGGTTTTATGGGGTAAAATTTATTTATTGAAGGCCTATACTAAGCTATTGATATTTTACTAAAAACCCCACTTTAACAGTTTCCTTGTAGCAGCAAACCTATGTACTTGTTAAACCTAATGTTATTTAAATAGATTTAATTAAAAATCAATTCGCTTAGTAATCAGGTTTACTGTGGCGGGGGTATTTTGATTATATTCTATAGCTGAAAAACTGTATTTGTATAATTAGTCTTTAAAACTTTAGGCAAAATAGTTAAAAAACTAAAAAACTAAAAAAAATTTAAATCTTAAAACAATTATCTAAAGAGATGATATAATTAAATGTTATCAACACTAAGTTTGGGAATTATTATTTTTTTTATTTTTCCTTGTACTTAATTATAAGAAAGTTAAAAAATACTATTTATGGTTTAAATGTTAAAAATTGGAAAAAGAATTTCCGGAGGAGGTGTATCCCCTTAATCCAAAAATATTAAATAAAAACTCAGTAACTTGTCTACGGACTTTAATTATAAACTGCGTTATGTTCTGAGCTGTCTATTGTCTAATGGCAGTGATAATAGTTATTTGTGCAACTAGTGAGAAAAGTGAGCAATTGACTCACTCGAGAGAAATCCTTACTCACGAACCGTAGGCGAGTGAGGAATGGTTTCTCGAGTGAGGCAATTGTACTTTGAACTCGAGTTGCACATTATACTTTTCCTACAGTTACCATGAAACAAATAAATTGGTGAAGAAACATAACCTATTTTTACACAGAAGTGAACTTGTAATATAACATTTAATGTGAAGTGACAAATACAACAGTACAACAGCTGACGAGCTGATTTACAGCCAGTGCTGCCAACGTATTTCGCGCGCATACGACGTTGCCTGCATGTTACGCGCTCACTATTTCGTGCATTCACGTTGCAAATCTGGAGTAAGACAAAGTAATTAGAGTGAGACAATGTTAACATTGTCTCACTGATGAGCGAATTGGCCACTTTGCTTTCTCAAATCAGTGAGAGAACATGTACATTGTTAGGTAACTGTAGGAAAAGAATATTTTTAATTTTTATACGAATAATTATTTGATCAAATAAAAAATGTAAGCAATTGTTTATAGCTATTTTATCACTCTAGGAATAAATATGAGGTGTTAAATAAATACAACCACATTATGTTGTTGGTGTTATTTTGCATAGAAGACGTATTAATTATTTGCTCAATAAACCCGTTAAAAATTATATTCTAAAAGTTTATATATTTTGTGTTATCACTTTCTTATAACAATTTTCATTACAGCCAGTAACGTTTCCCATTTGTTTGTACTACATCAAGAATGTATTTGTATACATAATTTATTATTTAGATTTACAGAGTTTTAGCTTTATATGTAAGTTGTACTATAAGCATGTGTAACCTTCCTTACATAAAGTTACTTTCTTTAAAGTCATTAACTACTTCTTTACCTAAACACATTACCTGCATATCAGTTATAATAAGCTCACTTGGTTATCATTTTGTTATTGTGTAGTGATCGTATACATTAGAATGTTTGAATGTTTTTATATCATTTTCTTTAGCACAAATAAACATAAATTTATTAAATAATTGCAAGATACTTTTATTTAAGTGGAAAAATACGTGGACAATAATGTCTCTTCTTATTAACTTGTAAGATGGTATTTAATATTGCAACAGCGGATAGTATCTTTGTTTGATGTAAAAAAACAAATTGAATTGTTATAATTTACAACTTTATTGCTTCATGGTGTAAACATTTCCTTTGAACTCAAATGAAATTGTTTTTAAATTGAATCCAGCGCTTGGGCCCTTAAAAGCGGGTGTCAAAAACACATTTTGTCAGAGTATGCAGATGAAAATTTATATTTCTTTTGACGCTCTATGTAAGAATATGAGTAGCAATTGTTGAGATCTCGTTCTGCATTGTAGGAGATATGAAATGATCATGTAAAATGATATCAATAGATTTAATTTAGGCTTAAATATTAAATGCTATTAAATTGATGGTGTGAAGTCATTTTAGCAAGTTAAATAACTGTCTCATTGTTTGAGAATAGTTTTCTTTTGTCGTTATGTTGACAGCATTAGTAGCAGGTTTGTTGTGGTTTAATGAACAATTTAGGTTTATTTTAATGTATAACCTATTTGCTTTATTATAGTCAACTATACACAATTTGTTCTAAATAATTCTCTAGAATTTCAGCCTCAGTTGCATGAACAACCATATTATTCCTTAAAAGGCGATGATAATTGGAGTATAACACTTCAACCGCATTTTGAACATTTTGATTCTTCACGATTTCTTATTTTTCATCAAAAGGTTTCCATTCCATGGTTACTAATATGAGTTCTTATGTTACGAGGCGAGTTATGTAAGAGCCAGTTTATAGTATAGCAGGTAACACACAAAATTATAAAAACCCAGTTTCACTGTAGCTATGACGGAAATTTCACCTCTGTATGAATAAAATGTATTCCGTCAGTATTATTTCTGATTTCAAATCAAACTTTAAAAATGCTTGTTGACAGTGGGACAATCAGCTCTATTAATTGGTATTTACACGTGTTGTTCGCAGTGATCGCTGAGCTGCTGAGTGTGCTGTGTGCATGTCCATTACCTAGACAGACGGTGCGTGACGACGATGTACCGTGTACAGTAAGACAAGATGGCGGCGGTGCGACGGTGAGGTTGAGGTAGCTGGAGGATCAGTCGTCGCGGCGCGCCGTGTCGGCAGCCTACACCCGCGCACACCGTCACACCAACACACCAACACACCACGACATCGGTAAGTGACGTGTCACTCTGGCTTATGCAACATGCACATCTAGGATGAGAGGGTTCGGTCGTCAGTAAACTGCTATACTTTGACGTTCAATCATAACATTGCTCTATGATAGTTATAATATAAAATATTGTCCAATGAAATCCTTGGATCTGATAACTATTGGGTTATCTACAGGTAGCTTTGTCCATTCACGTAACAAATTTTCCGAGGCTTTTCATCACAAAAAGGCCAAAATCATAAATTGGTGACTATTTAGCATAAATATATTTAATATGTATTGACTATGAACTTATTGTTAGCTATTTTAAAATGTGGTATTTAGTTTCATGTAAACATACAAAAATAACGTCAACTCAGTATCGATACATAAATAAACTATAGGATAACAATAAAAACAGAAGACAACATTCCAATAATATCAAAGCCAATATATACGAATGAAGTGCAATCGAGTCTATGGTTTATTTTATAGCCGGCCAAGTGGGCAGCAGTCAGCACAGCTCAAGTATAAACCGGCAATAAACTGGCCCATGAATACGGGATCAGCCGTTAAGCGAATCGCACCAGCCAGAATGAATAATTCATCATCTGTCCGCTCTAACCTTGCCTCTAGCTGTGGAAGTCGAGCAGACTGATGATGTTAGGACATCGACCTAGGAACATTAGACAGAGCTGCACTTGTAAACAATGGAGTGCGAGATATACATGTGTAATCAATTGGTTCACGTTGCACCAGCCAGAATGAATAATTCATCATCTGTCCGCTCTAACCTTGCCTCTAGCTGTGGAAGTCGAGCAGACTGATGATGGTAGGACATCGACCTAGGAACATTAGACAGAGCTGCACTTGTAAACAATGGAGTGCGAGATATACATGTGTAATCAATTGGTTCACGTTGCACCAGCCAGAATGAATAATTCATCATCTGTCCGCTCTAACCTTGCCTCTAGCTGTGGAAGTCGAGCAGACTGATGATGTTAGGACATCGACCTACGAACATTAGACAGAGCTGCACTTGTAAACAATGGAGTGCGAGATATACATGTGTAATCAATTGGTTCACGTTGCACCAGCCAGAATGAATAATTCATCATCTGTCCGCTCTAACCTTGCCTCTAGCTGTGGAAGTAGATCAGGCTGATGATGGTAGGACATCGACCTAGGAACATTAGACAGAGCTGCACTTGTAAACAATGGAGTGCGAGATATACATGTGTAATCAATTGGTTCACGTTGCACCAGCCAGAATGAATAATTCATCTTCTGTCCGCTCTAACCTTGCCTCTAGCTGTGGAAGTCGAGCAGACTGATGATGGTAGGACATCGACCTAGGAACATTAGACAGAGTTGCACTTGTAAACAATGGAGTATGAGATATACATGTGTAATCAATTGGTTCACGTTGCACCAGCCAGAATGAATAATTCATCATCTGTCCGCTCTAACCTTGCCTCTAGCTCTGGAAGTACAAGTGAGTAGATTAAACAACAATAAAAATTGCGTATGGCTTAAAACCAATACAGGATGTTGTCTCCACTGATTGTTCGATGTAGAAGCAGGTAGACTTTTTGATATACCTTGTTAATGCTGAAATTATTATGTTATCTTAAGTCAGTAGTCTATCAGGGCACACCTATAGGGATCACTTTAAAGAAGGTGATTCGGTTCACATAACCATACAAATTTAGGAAACACCGGCCATATACGTAAACATAAAAGACGCTCTGGACCAGGCTAGAGCGGTGTGTTGACCATCAGTATACCCGGGTGGATGACAATAGCCAGAGAGAGAGAGAGAGAGAGAGGTTGGTTGGTTACAAGGCGTTTTCTCAATATGAATTATTATAGATACACTCAAACATATAGTAATTAAATTGTATGTGTTTTGATAGCTCTGACTTATCTTTACAAACTTTTTCTTAATACCATATTTAATTATGCTACTTTCTAATTATACAGGGTGAGTTTTAATTGTCCCCCCCCCCCAACTTTTGTCTACATTTTTTCAAATATCAATCCCAGACCACTTCCAAACATTGTTGGGTAGTAAGTACTTCATTTTGACAAGGTGGTCATTTCCGGCCGCCATCTTGGATCCGCCATATTGGATGCAAAATTTTTTTTTCAAATGTAAAGGTGGAGTTGTGACCCATTATTTCGAATTAGATTTTTACCCTAATTACAATGCCGCAAACTGTTTTTAAAAATCTTGATTCATTCTAAAGTTATGAGGGCTTTTTAAAACTTTATTTTTAGCCCATTTTAACATTGTGCATTTACAAACTAAGACCATAATCTCAAAATAGTGCTAGATAAAGATAAGTATACACTACCAGTAATTGTCGACCTATTTTCACTTGGTTATGACTGATGTATTTTTTCGGCCGCCATCTTGGATCCGCCATTTTGAAATGTGATAAATTATTTTAAATATGAAGGGGGTGTTGTGACCCATCATTTCTCACTACTTTTTTAAGCTGAACTTAATTCCATGATCCGTTTTTCATTTTAATTTTTTGGTTTTTAAATATTGACATTTTTTACAAAAAAATTGCAATATTTCATAAATAAAACTTGATAAAAAAAAATGGATTGCGGCATTGAGTTTAGCTTAAAAAAGTAGTTCGAAATGATGGGTCACAACACCCCCTTCATATTTAAAATAATTTATCATATTTCAAAATGGCGGATCCAAGATGGTGGCCGAAAAAATACATCAGTCATAACCAAGTGAAAATAGGTCGACAATTACTGGTAGTGTATACTTATCTTTATCTAGCACTATTTTGAGATTATGGTCTTAGTTTGTAAATGCACAATGTTAAAATGGGCTAAAAATAAAGTTTTAAAAAGCCCTCATAACTTTGGAATGAATCAAGAATTTTAAAAACAGTTTGCGGCATTGTAATCAGGGTAAAAATCTAGTTCGAAATAATGGGTCACAACTCCACCTTTACATTTGAAAAAAAAATTTGCATCCAATATGGCGGATCCAAGATGGCGGCCGGAAATGACCACCTTGTCAAAATGAAGTACTTACTACCCAACAATGTTTGGAAGTGGTCTGGGATTGATATTTGAAAAAATGTAGAAAAAAGTTTGGGGGGGGGACAATTAAAACTCACCCTGTATAAGATCTGTAATGCTGGTTAGGCTAAAACAAGGCCCATTTAGTTATCATACGTCACAGGCTATAACCAGCTCCAAGGTAAAAAGCCGATATGCATTCACACGGGGGGCAAACCGGCAAACGTTTACCGCACTTTTTTGAGGGCAAATGAAAAGTATATTTTTTTCTTGTATAAGTTTTTAGCTGTTCGAACATAGTTAATTTTAATGTAACACTATTGGTTATTCAGCTTTATGCCGGCATTTTAATTCTATTCGATAGTTAATATAATTTTTTTGCATTTACTCCTTACACAGATTTGGCGGTATTCTATGTTGCCATTTTTTATGTTAAGCGTAATTGTTAACAACATAAATCTCTTATGTAAAAAAATCCCATACGATCTAAGTCGATGTAAAAGAGTCACAACGTATTTATCAGTATTTCTATTTAATTGGCTTTTGAGCCTGTAGGCCTGTAATTTAATACATATCCTAACCATGATTACCATAAACATTAAAACGATTAACCTTCAATAAAAATCTAAACCAAAGTTTAAAAAGTTGCTCGCCTAAGAGCTGAGTGATAAAGTTGAGTTGTAAAAGATTCCGATCAGACTGTTTGAAACAATGTTTACGAGGAAACACGAGTAACTTGTTACAATAAACTCTGAGGAAAGCTGTTAACTCGGTGAAGAGAGAGAGACAGAGCAAGTGAGGTCCTCACCTTTCCATTAATTAAACACTTTTAACCTTGATACCCATGAAATAGTTTGTAAGCCGCACGAACCTTTCTGTCATTGTACTCCATTGATGTAATTACTAATGACTTTAGATCATTTTGTAACGTTCAATTGTAATTAATCTATGAGCAACGATGTATCTGAAAAGTTTCCTGATCGTGATAATAAAGATTTCTTTTTAATTGTTCTCAAAAGGTTTATTAAAGTAATTCAATTTTCCTTTAATGTAAATCTGGTAAAAATCTGAAATTACTTTACTTTAGTTTATTAAATAAATGTGACTGATTACATCTTCATTACTCATACTGATTATACTGTCATTTACCATTGATCTGTTCTATTCCTAGACCTGTCCACCACATTTCGCACGAGCTGCAAAATAGCTGTGACTCTATGAAACTGTGAGATTGACATGATCTTACGTTAGTACAGATTAATAAATGTCTTCTTTTTTTATCGTAACAAACTTTTTTGTGGTAGACATTCGTTTGTTATGTTATGAAAATAACCATCCGTTATCCGTGCCATTTTTTTCTATCAGTGAACTGAAGTTTCCTGTGAAAAGATTTTTTTTAGGTTCAAGCTGGGATAGAATAAATAGGTAAATTTACCCTGAAGGACACGAGGAATAAATAAGGCGGAACACAACTCGTAGTATAGAATACCATGTTTGATATGTCCGTTAAATGTGTAATACATAGATAGTGCTTCCAAATATCCTTGACATTCACCATTCACCAAACAACTATTGAGGCAAATCAAGGTGAGCAGCTAGGCCAGAGCCCACGGTATAGTCAGTGTGTACTGTATCAAGTGTAGGCACTAGGCAGGTCAGCCGTTACAACCATACACATAGTCACTTTGCAAAATATTATAAAGTACTTTTCCTTTTTTATGAGGGCAGAGTTTCTTGAACTATAACTCGTGCATGTAACGAATGGTTTAAATGTACAATTGGTTCGTTACAGAACATTTTTTTAACAGTTATTGGTATTATCCTGTCAAATATGAATCTTCCTTAGGTTATAAGGTTGTTTAATTTTACACAATCATTCAAGTAACTATGAGGATACCTAAAACACAACTAATTAAATTAATTAATTGACAACCATGTAAAAAGGCCTTAAGTTTTATAGATTTGATATTCT